ACCCAGAGCTGTTGGAAGGCCTGCAGGGAGGCCAGGATGGAGCCGCCGGTCCACACGGAGGTCTTCCTCTCAGGAGCTGCAGCCACCGCAGGGCTGTCCCTGGGGCAGAGGAGGCTCAGCTCCCTCTGGAAGCGCTCGGGGAAACCATCCAGCATGGTGCAGCCGCCACACAGCAGCACGTTGGCGGCCATCTCCTCCTTGAAGCCCGTGTCCTGGCAGCGGCCCAGGCAGGCAGCCGTGAGCTCCGGGAGGCCCGGCTGGGTGCTGCCCGCCAGGGAGGGCTGGAAGAGCATCTCAGAGCAGCGGAAGCGCTCCCGGCCAATGGTGATGAGCTTGCCGTCCGGGAGCTCGTAGTCCACGCGCAGCTCCTCCGGGACCAGGCCGAGCTCCTCCTCGGGCAGGAAGGCCGCATAGCAGCACTTCTTCTTGATGTGCTCTATGATGTGCAGGTGGTCGTCCGTGAATGCGTGGCCCGCCTCATTGAGCAGCTGCATCAGGTAGTTGGTGAGGTCACCCCCAGCATAGTCGGCGCGGCTGGTCAGGCCCGGCAGCACCTCGCCCTCGGAGATGGGCACCACGTGCGAGACGCCGTGCCCGCTCTCCACCACCAGTCCCGAGGTCTTGCCGTACGAGTAGATGGACAGCAACGACTGGGACGTCACGTGCATAGCGGGGATGCCGAAGGTCTCGAACATGAGCTCTGCGTACTTCTCCCGGTTGCTGCTGGGGCTGAGCGGAGGGTCGGAGACCAGCACAGCGTGCTCCTCGGGCAGGATCTTCATGGCCGTGCGGAAGATGTACTCCCAGATGTCCTGCACGCAGTCCCAGTCCACCACGATGCCGTGCTTCAGCGGGTTCACCAGCTTGAGAGGTGTCTCCGTGTTGAGCAGCTCGTGGCCCACTAGGGTCCCCTTGCGGGTGTCGCCAGCGTCGGCCGCCTCGGGGCAGCGTTTTCCTACGGTGGAGGAGATGAAGTAGGTGGGCCTCGGCTCTCCCGCGTAGCCGCACTTGCAGTACTGGGAGCCCAGGTCGATGACAACCGCCTTGATCTTGCGCACCTTCCTGGGCTTCATCTTGAGCTGAGTGGCCGCACCTGTGTCCCGGAGGCCGGCGTCAGAGCCTGGCCGTGTTCCTGCCTCTCCAGGGTCACCCTGAGCCGTGCCCAGGGCCATGGGGCTGTTCCTTGTCGCCATCTGCCTCTCTCACTCCCCTTCTCACATCCACAGCCTAGAGCTCCCGGGGGAGAAATGAGACACCCCCCGCCAACCACCCCCAGTAGTGCCATGGCAACCACCTGGGATTGTGATGTCACTCAGGGCTGGTCCATTCAGGCAGCGGGGGGAGGGCTTGGCTTTGGCCGACTCTTGGTGTGTCACCCCCATCTCTGTAACTCGTTTGCTCCAGGACAGAGCACGTGTTGGGAGTTTTAGAAATCCAAGCACACTGGGGTCTCAGAGGTTTCTGCTCAACCCCCTTGCATTTCCATGCCTAACCTGCTCACTACTGGACACCTTTCCTCTTCTGCCTCTTGGTGGAGAGGGCCTAAGTATTTGAGCCCCTCCAGTAAGGCAGGCACTGCACTAGGTACTTCACTTGTGTTGTTCTGCAGGTAGGCAGAGCTGAGGAAATGAGGCTCAGAATTCTAAGGACTTGCCCAAGAGCAAACAGCACTTGGGGTGTTTGTACCTTAACCCAAATTCATCAAACTCCAATGCACTAGGCCCCCTTGACCGCCCCAAGAGTTCTTTCCTCCCTTCATTCAACATTTACTGGAGTATGTGGTAGGTCCCGCCCAGTGCAGCCTGCCAGTGATAGATGATAAAAACCCAGGCCACCAGCAGTGCCCAGTCTAGACAAGAAAATGGAATGGGTGCCGGTGGGTTTGCAGGAAGAAGTCTACTTGGAGAACTCATTTGAGACCGGCAGTCAGAAGGTGCTCTAGAGAGGAGGTGATGCTTAAGTTGAATCCTGGAAGAGGTATAGGTATTTGTCAAGTAGTTAAAAGGAGGGGAAGACATCCCAGGCAGAGAGCACAGCTTGAGCAAAGGCTCAGATGGAGGCACAGTGAAGAACTTCCCACAGTGAAAGTGTTTGGAAAAACAGATGAAGCTAGAGAAGTCACAGAGCCAAATAGAGAGGGCATCGAATGCCAGGAGTAGGTTTAGACTAAATTGAGGAGAGCCAGGGAATCTATGAAGACTTTAAGCAGGGGAATGATCAGATTTGCTCTCTAGAAAAATGTTAGAAAGGGCCAGACGCAGTGGCTCACGCCTGTAATTCTACCAGCACTTTGGGAGGCCGGGGCGGGTGGATCACGAGGTCAGGAGTTCAAGACCAGCCTGGCCAAGATGGTGAAACCCCATCTCTACTAAAAATACAAAAATTAGCCAGGCCTGGTGGTGGGTACCTGTAATCCCAGCTACTTGGGAGGCTGAGGCAGAGAATTGCTTGAACCCAGGAGGCAGAGGTTGCAGTGAGCTGAGATCGCACCACTGCACTCCAGCCTGGGACAAAGACTCCATCTCAAAAAAAAAAAAGAAAAAGAAAAATGTTAGAAAGATTGGCATTTGGCTGTAATGTAGAGAATGGATGGGAGGAGCAAGACTAGAAGCTGACACCTGAAACGAGGCTATTGGAGAAATTCCGATAAGACTTGAAGGTGGCCTGACCTAGGGCTGTGAGAGTGTGGAAGCGAGGAAGAGCCTGGTTCTAGAGAAATTTAGAAAGTAGAATAGAATCCAATCTGTTGTTTCCCCAACCATCCCTCACTTTAATCCAAGCTCTTTCTCTGGCATTTGAGGCCTTCCCTCATGGGCTCCTGTGATGTGGGATGTGAGGCAGAGGGAAGGATGAATCCCTTACCTGGACCCGAGCAAAGAAAGATGGCTTGTCATCTAGAAAGGACCAATTCACTAGAGTGCCAGAGGGATCTGCAACTTAAGCTGCCCCTTCCCACTCCAAAATCAAAAAGGCAGATTAGGGCTTTGGTGGTGAAGAGTCAAGAAAAAAAGGGGAAGAGCAGCAACTGGGCCTGAGGAAGTTTTCTGGGAGAATTAAGACAAGCAGAGGTGCCTGAGGAATTGATTAGGCAACATGCATGGGAGAAAAAGAGTTAAGAAATACTGCCATGGAGCGTGTAAGAATGCTAATGAGGAACGTGTGGGGATTTTTGTTTGCTGAATTTTTGTTGGTTTGTTTTTGAGACAGAGTTTCGCTCTTTCGCCCAGGCTGGGGCGCAGTGGTGCAATCTCGGCTCACTGCAACCTCCACCTTCCAGTTTCAAGCGATTCTCCTGCCTCAGTCTCCCGAGCAGCTGGGATTACAGGCGCCTGCTACCCTGCCTGGCTAATTTTTGTATTTTTAGTACAGACGGGGTTTCACCATGTTGGCCAGGCTGGTATTGAACTCCTGATCTCATGATCCACCCGCCTCGGCCTCCCAAAGTGCTGGGATTACAGGTGTGAGCCACCACACCCAGCCTGCTGAATTGTTTCTTGGAACATGGCAGCATTCAACTATATTATTTGGGTAACAACTTTCTAAGGGTTACAATTATGAACATCATGACCCAGAAATGCCCTGTGGTGGGATCATGAAATCACAGAAGCTCAGGATTGGACCCTTCAGTTCCCTCTAGAACATCCCATCCAGCAGTCTGACATGGACAGCTTACCCCGTTTTGGCCAGCCATGAGTGATAAATGTTTTGTCACACTGGATTGGCATGTGTACCTCTCTGAAGCCATTGATTGGTCTTGCGTCTACTCTTGAAGTTCTACGGAGCCAGCAAATTCTTCCACGACAACTCTTAGGCTATTTAAAGGCAGTGCTCATGGACTGCCAGAGACTACTTTTTATCCATTCCTTACGGGAAGGCAGTACAGAGCAGAGGGAAGACCAAGGAACTGGAATCCAGAGACCTGGGTTCAAACACAGATTTATTATTTATAATCTGTATGACTTTGTGTAAACTACTTGAAATGTCGTTTGAATGTGATTACCATATTGCTATGTCCCCTCACCAATCTGACCCATATCCATGGCCTCCAGGTTTCTGCCTTGAGCTGCTAAGTGGATGGTGGCACCACAAACACACACACACGGAATGCAGGGGGAGGAAGGGAAGGAATGTGCGGGGAGAGAATGAGCTCCATCTTGGGCATGCTGACTTAAGAGATGCCCAAAGGCCACTAGACTGTGGGACACTGGGCTGGAGCATGTGGAAGGGGAAGCATTCGGATCCAGATTTGCCTGCTCAGTAGCACATCTCCCCCTGAAGACAGCTCCTCTCCCTTCCACCTCAGGGAAATGGGCACAGTCTTGGGACCTGAGTGTCCACACTGGGGTCTGAGCTGTGAGAAAGCAGCTCAAAGTGCCCGTTTGGCAAGGATCTTCTTTGTTGAGAGCTCCTGACTCAGGGGTTCTCCAGCATATTCAAGAGTTGGAAAGGCTGTGGTGGACTCCAGTAATTTTTAAGAAAAACTACAGGTGATTAATGAGAAGAAACGCCACGCCAGATTTTCTTTTTTTCCCTCCCATAGCTGCTAAACTTCCAGGGGCTTGGCTCACCTCTCCTCCAAAGGTCAAGGGCGGGTAGTGTCTCAAAAATTGAAGCCAGGAGCCAGGATGCACCTCAGGGATAAGTGTGTTCTTTAATCTCATCTTTCCATGTTCTCTCCCTCCACTATAGAAGAGAACCCCAGGGTTGGCCAGGCGCGGTGGCTCACACCTGTAATCGCAGCACTTTGGGAGGCCGAGGCGGGCAGATCACAAGGTCAGGAGATCGAGACCATCCTGGCTAACACGGTGAAACCCCGTCTCTACTAAAAATATAAAAAATTAGCCAGGCGTGGTGGCGGGCGCCTGTAGTCCCAGCTACTCAGGAGGCTGAGGCAGGAGAATGGCATGAACCCAGGAGGCAGAGCCTGCAGTGAGCCAAGACCCCGTCACTGCACTCCAGCCTGGGCAACAGAGTGAGACTCTGTCTCAAAAAAAAAAAAAAAAAAATGACCCCAGGGTTGCTTTCAAAAAGGGGTCATCCCATGGTTTTTTTGGTCTTGAGCCAGAGGACTAAAAGTAGGTGTGATCCCATTAGAAAATGTGACCCAACATATTTTGAGCAATAGAGGGTGCCTCTCCCTAGAGGGACCTCACTAGGGACCCCAGGGAGCCCACACAGACCTTAGCTGATGACAGTTGTGGGGGGCTGTGTGCTAGGCAGTGGAGGTTTAGGGCACGGTGTCAACAGTCTCTGCATTCTTCCATCATTACCACTAACCGTGTGCTGACCCACAGAGGGAGAGAAGAGGCACAGAGGGTAACAGGAAGCTTAGGGGAAACAGGGTTTTGATTGGGGGTACCCAACATGTGAAACTGAGAGGTGAAGAAAAGGAGGGCAAGTGTTTCGTTGGCTTTTGCTCAGAGAATGTGAGGGGAATCCCTATGCTCAAGGACCTTACAGACTAGACAGAATAACTGCCTTACACTAAGGCATCACCTCTTCCACACGCAAATGCAGAAAGGGCAATGACAGATGATAGATGGGCAAGCCTGGGCAGCCCAGGAAGAGCAAACGAGTCAGAGCATGTCAGGCTTGGAGTGTATTAGTGAAGAGGGAGGCACAGGACAGGTGAAAGGGTCCTCCAAAGGTGTCCACATCTTAATCCCTGGGACCTGTGAGTATATTAACTTTCATGCCAAAAGGGATTCCGTGGATGGGAGTAAATGAAAGAATCTGAGATGGGGAGAGTATTCTGGATGGCCTGGGTGGGGCCAATGTAATCACAAGGGTCCTTATATGGGGGATACAGGAGGGCCAAGGGCAGAGAAACAGATGTGACAATGATAGCTGTAGTCTGAGACTCTCAGTCTTTTAAGATGGAGGAAGGGACATGAGCCAAGGAACACAGGTGGCCTCTAGGAGCTGGAGAAGGCAAGAAGAAGTACTGTCTCCTACACCTCCAGAAGGAATACAGCCCTAAAAGAACCTTAATTGTAGTCCACTAAGAATTACGAACTTCCGACCTCCAAAACAGTAAGATAATAACTGTGAGTTGCTTTAAGCCACTACATCCACGGTAATTTGTTACAGCAGAAACAGGAAGCTAATACAGGCTCTTCTAGGAGTCCAGGTTAGTGAAAAGGTACCAAGCAGCTATAGATTTCTCAAAATTCAAGTAGGGTTTGGGGAGAAAAAAAATGGAGGGTTTTAAATTACGTATGTCTTTGGTTACCATATACAGAACTTTTGAAATAAAGTCAAACAATCTGAGTTGTCCATGCAAATCCCTGAAAGCAGAGGCAATTAAACTGTTTTTCAGGCAGCCAGGTATTGAAAGTAATTTCCTATTTTTCCTTCAAAATTCCATGCCATGATCTCACCCACTAACCAATGAAGCAAGAAACTGAGATTTTTGTCCCTGGGATGACACCTTGCTGCCCCCATCAGATAGTCACAAACCTCATGAGACTGGACTTGGTCCTTTTCTTCTCTCATACCCCAAAGGAACTGAAAGAAGGACCCATAGCCTCTCTAAAGGAGAAAGCCCATTATTGTGGTGACTGCCTCTTTTATGAAGGGCTGGGATCAGGTTCAAGGTGTGGTATCACATAAGGCTGGATTCTGCCCTGAGTGTGGCAGGCATCCACACCAATGTGTCCAGCTTCAGAAATGGCATGCAAGATGGTGGCCAAGCAGCCTAAGAGATGCATACTAGGTCCCATCAAGCTGTGTCCCAGCACATCCTGGAGAGAGAGCCACAGTCAGGAGAGCTTGGCTACTCCTGGTTGGATATCCTTGGATGAGCTACGCACCTACAAGCCTCAGTGATGTCAGTGGGATATTTTAGGGTCTAATTTCACTGCCTAGCCAATGACCCTGATGACGGCACAGTAAGTGTACAAATGTATATCCAAAAATAATTCCTCTTAAGGTTGTTCTAAGTGTCACCCTTAGTGCCCTTGACATAGTCACCATAGCAGCAAAGGATCCCGCTAACATCTAAATCAGATGGTGTCGGTGCTCTGCACCAAATCCTCTAGTGCTTTCTGACCTTATCCATGATCCTCGCATTGGCCTATGAGGCCTACCGTGAGCTGCTCGCCTTCCCCCACCCCATCTCATCTAATTTTCCTTACTCCTTCCATGCCAGCCACATTTGTCTTCCTGCTCCTCCTCTAACTCAAGGTCAGCAAACTTTTTAAGGGCCGGTCAATACTTACTTTCATTCAGCTTTTTGGGCAACACAGTCTTCAAAGCCGTGACTCAGCTCTACTGCTGTACTGCAAAGGCAGCCATGGACGATACAAACATGAATGAGCACGGCTGTATTCCAATCCAACAAGCTGGGGACTGGACTGGACTGCAGCCTGCTGACCCCTGATCTAACTCTTCACACATCTGCCTCCAGTCCCCCGCACCTGCTGTTCCCCTGACAAACACGTGGCTCTCTCCTTCACCTCCTGCAGGTCTTCATTCAGATGTCACCCTCTCAGGAAGCTCTGCCAAGGCCACCCTAGCACTGCCCCCCTGCTTTTGCTCTTAATGCTCATTTTGGTTATTGTCTGTCACCCCCACCCCCCACCAACTAGAATAAGGGATTTTGTCTGTTTTTTTTTTTCACCACCGAATTCCCAGGTGCCTTGTATATAGCAGACACTCAAGAAATATTAATTAATTGAATAAATCAGCCTTGTTACAAAATGTAGGAAAAGGGGAGCCATTTCAAAAACAATATCCCAAATGTACCCTAACACAGGATAAGGGTTTGCAATATCTAGAAAGCCCAGGTCACCAGATTACATCATAATTAATGATGTCATTGTTGGGAAAATTCTCAGGGTATCCTCTGATGTAGGCCTTTCAGGCCTTGAATCCAGTGGGATTGAGAACTTTCTAAGAGTGGTGCGGCTCTTGACAACATGTGGGCTCCACCGGCAGCAATCATGGGGGATGGGCCCACCAAGAAGGTGGGTAACCAGGCCCCCCTGCAGACACAGGCCCTCCAGACTGCCTCTTTAAGGGATGGTCCGGCAAAGCGGGCCGTGTGGGTCCGCCACAGGAGTTCAGAGCCACAGGAACCTACTGAATCAAAGGCAGCCAAGGAGAGGCCCAAGCAGGAGGTGACCAAAGCAGTGGTCGTGGACCTGGGCACTGGCTACTGTAAATGTGGCTTTGCCGGCCTGCCAAGACCCACCCACAAGATCTCAACAATGGTGGGCAAGCCCTACATGGAGACCGCCAAGACTGGGGATAATCGCAAGGAGACATTCGTGGGACAGGAACTCAACAACACAAACGTTCATCTCAAGCTGGTTAACCCTCTGCGACATGGCATCATCGTGGACTGGGACACAGTGCAGGATATCTGGGAATATCTCTTCCGACAAGAGATGAAGATCGCGCCGGAGGAGCATGCGGTCTTGGTTTCAGACCCACCGCTGAGCCCACACACCAACAGAGAGAAATATGCTGAAATGCTGTTTGAAGCCTTCAACACTCCTGCGATGCACATCGCCTACCAGTCGCGCCTGTCCATGTACTCCTATGGAAGGACCTCCGGCCTGGTGGTGGAGGTTGGCCATGGCGTGTCCTACGTGGTCCCCATCTACGAGGGTTATCCTTTGCCCAGCATCACCGGAAGGCTGGACTACGCAGGCTCTGACCTGACAGCCTACCTGCTAGGCCTGCTGAACAGTGCGGGAAACGAATTCACCCAGGACCAGATGGGCATCGTGGAGGACATCAAGAAGAAATGCTGCTTTGTGGCCCTGGATCCCACTGAGGAGAAGAAAGTCCCTCTCAGTGAGCATACGATCCGCTACGTGCTGCCGGATGGGAAGGAGATTCAGCTGTGCCAGGAACGGTTCCTCTGCTCAGAGATGTTCTTCAAGCCGTCTCTCATCAAGTCCATGCAGCTGGGCCTCCACACCCAGACCGTGTCCTGCCTTAACAAGTGTGACATCGCCCTCAAACGGGACCTCATGGGGAACATCCTGCTCTGCGGGGGCAGCACGATGCTCAGTGGCTTCCCCAACCGTCTGCAGAAGGAGCTAAGCAGCATGTGTCCCAATGACACCCCGCAGGTAAACGTGCTGCCTGAGAGAGACAGTGCCGTGTGGACCGGTGGCTCCATCCTGGCCTCACTTCAGGGTTTCCAACCACTGTGGGTCCACCGCTTTGAGTACGAGGAACATGGGCCTTTCTTCCTCTACAGAAGGTGCTTCTGAACGGTGATGAGGATGGCCACTGCACTGGCAGCGCGTACCCTCGGCGGGGTGAGCGCACTCCCACACACAGGGGTGGAGCCGGTGCTTATTCCTGTAGCATTAAACACCCCTCATATGCCCCTCCTCAGTGTGTTTCTCTACTTCCTGACTTCATAAGAACAACTTCACACATGCGGCATCTGCCTTAAAATATACATTTCCTAAAACAAAAGCAGGAGTAGGGGGAGGATGAACGAAAAAGGACATGCATTGTATGTGGATTGCTTAAACATTCACTTGCTCTAAAATTATGCTGCCCCTTATTTTGTGCATTCCCCACTTTAGGAACTACTTTATGGTTAAACTCTGCGTGGAGGGGGGAGTGCAATGAAGATTAGAGGGTAAATGCTGTTGGGGCACATAAGCAGTTCCCTTTCCATCAATGCCAGTAGGAAGCATGCTGTAACAGTGCAACCTCCCACAAAGCATCAGTGTCCATTTCACACTTCATCAGCAACCCGGACGGACTGGAAAGAGCTGGCAAAGCTGTCTGAGCCCTGCTTTAACAGGAGTTTCTTTTAGTTCCAACAGTCATTTATTGAGACATATCTCAATACCAGTTCTTACTAAGCCATCACAGCGACTGGCTGCTGAAGCCTAGCATATTACAAGCAAGGCATATGTATGTGCCTTAAAGGGCAACTCTTCAGAGAACAAGTGCCATACAGATTTCCCTTTTTAAAAACCGAAGTAAGATTGATCTTGGGCTATCAGCAGAGAGGTTAGGGATTGAAGCTACAGTCATTCTCCCGACACTTCAAGTAGTAGCTGACCATCTCCCAGCAGACTGGATTCTCCATCAGCCTAAAACACACACAGTTGGAGTCTGGGGTGTGCTCAGGAGAGAGGCTGCTGGTTCTGGGGCTGATGGTATGGGTCTGTGGGAGGCTGCCCTATGTGGGTCATTCTAACCCAACTGGGAGCCCAAAGGAATACAGAGACCCTCAGTAGCCAGGGAAGCCCTTCCAGGGCCCAGCAAACTCTATGGTGTTCCTGCAGGGGGAGTTTGTAATATGAGCACTTTAAATTGGAGATTCTTTAGAAGAGCCCCCAGTACATTCTCTGTCCTGTCTTTAAAGTTCAGAATCTGAACACTAGTGGGTGCATAAAACAGTGGACGGAACATGGGCTCTGGACTCTGTGGTTTGAAACACTATTTTGCTACCACCTAGGTATGTGACTTGAGTTTGTCTGCCTGCAAAACTGAGTATGAACGCCTACCTCACACAGCTGATTTGGAAAACAGTGAAAAACATCTGAATACCAATACTAGACTCCTGGAGGTGCTCACAACAGCCAGCTAGTATCTTTAAGTTTCTGCCTCTTATGCAGAAGGCCAAAAGTCTCTTACTATAGTCCTTAGTCACACAGGCACTCAAAGGCACGCATTCTGCATTTAGAGGAGAGCTGGCACCTCCACCATCTCCAGGGAGAAGCCCTCCAGAGCCGCCCTCACAGGTGCCAGGTTTGCCTACACAGCCTTGAAAGGCCTAAAGTACCTGACCCTGGATCCAGGCCTGGTGAGTAAGAGTATCTGGCTGGTACTGGCAGAGAGAGAGCCACAGAGGGGCATGTGAGGTTCCCATGGTTCAGCACGGATGACTAAGCCTTATGCTGGACTGTCAAGGAATCAGGAGTTGGGGACACTGACCTGAGAAAGAGGGACATCTTTACCTCAGTTTCTGCCCAAACCGCTCTACTGTCAACCCATGATCATTCACTGATGTGCAAGCTGAAGTCTGGTTAGTTCTTAACCTTTGGACCTCTTTGGCAGGGTGGTAAACCCATAAACCTCTTCTTAGAATAATGTTTTTAAATGCGTAAAATACAGTGTATGATTACAGAGGAAACCTATCTTATAGAGATATGCTCTATCTACCGATCCCTTCGGGATGTATGAACCCCACGTCACAGATCCCTAAAAAGGCAAGGGTCTTAATGAAGAGGAGACTTGGGAGGTGGTTCTGGAGGATGGGCGTCTCCAGGCCTTCTTAGGTCTCAATGTTCATTTCTAAATGAAAAAATACCAATTGAAGGCTGAGCAATTGTGCAGTCTTTTTCAAAGCACTTTATGAATGTTCTCACTTGATGCTCACAAGTATGCCCTCGCAGAAAAAGAGAATTTCCTCATAAAAAGCGATAGTTTTACTAAGTATTTGGAACTTACCTTAGCACAGTAGTTCTCAAGTGGGGGCAACTTTGGCCTGTGGTGGACATTTAACAACGTCTAAAGATATTTGTGGTTGTCATAACAGGGGTGGGAGTGTGTATTACTGGCATCTAGGGGTTAGAGACCAGGGAAGTGGTTAAACATCTTACAATGTGCAGGGAAGCACCTCCCAACACCCAAAGAAAGAATGACATGAACCAAAACGACAACAGTGCCATTGAGAAACTCTGTTTAGCTTGATGGGCACACACAAGACTGAAGAAAAGCAAGGCTCAGTGAGATTAAGTGACTTTGTCCAAGACTGCTAAGAGGGTTGGACACATGGCCCAAAGCCTTGTTCTTTCCTTTATACCAACCCAACAACTGTTGTTCTTAAAGGTCTGGGGACTTTAGAGCCAGTAGGAATAGTGGTGGAGCAGCCCAGTGCAGGTACAGGCAAGGGCCCAGGGAGCACAGAGAACACAGAAGCACGAGAATCCAAAGCAGGCCTTCAGCACTGCCAAATGTTACCGAATTAGCCTTGCCTGATCTCCAGCCTCGTGAATATGTACAGCTAGCTAGCTCCTAAGATTTATTTGCAGCCAGTTACTAATAAATATGACAAACAAGAAAGAACAGCCAAAGACTCCCCAGGGCTTGTCCAGGCGGTGCTTCTAGAGAATATGGGAGTACAATAACCAGCACAAGAAGAACAAAAAATCTAATTTTGCTTCTCAAATTTGCAGTCACCTTAGGTTACTAAGCATCGTCAGTTTTACTTATTTTTAAAAACACCCTCTTCAGTTACTGCTATGACAAATCTCTCAAATGTGTATGTATATATACATGCATATATAATTAAATTTAAAATATGCAGCAGGGCTAAGAAATTGCACCAAGCTACATCCATAAAGGCATATAAAAATTGCTCCTAAGTTTTTTGTTTTGTTTTGTTTTGTTTTGAGACAGAGTCTCGTTCTTGTCCTATCCAGGCTGGAGTACAGTAGCATGATCTTGGCTCACTGCAACCTCTACCTTCCCAGGTTCAAGTGATTCTCCTGCCTCAGCCTCCCAAGTAGCTGGGATCACAGGTGCCCGCCACCACGCCTGGCTAATTTTTTTTGTATTTTTAGTAGAGATGGGATTTCACCATGTTGGCTGGCTGGTCTCAAACTCCTGACCTTGTAATCCACCCACCTCAGCCTCCCAAAGTGCTGGGATTACAGGTGTGATCCACTCGTGTGATCCAGTCGGCCTCAGTTTTTTAAAAAGCATAAATTTAAAATGCACTTTGAACTGAAGAAGACAGTCTTCTGCAAGTTCCCTCTTGAAGTTTAGAGCATCTGAGCAAAGCTATCTGACTCAATGGAACCAAGAAAAGTGAAGGTTTTACCTTATTGCAGCATGAACTTGCTTTGGGACAGAATCCAAAGTTATGTACTCTTTTCTAAAACTTGACAGAATCTTGCCCCCAAATTAAGCATTCACCACTCAGAGGAGTTCTCTCCTTTCCTCATACACTCGGTTTTCCCCCATGAATTCTTCTTGGCTTTGCCTCAATTTGGAAGGTCTCCTCCTGCCTGCTTCTTCTAAAAATGAACAAAATTCAATCCTGCTCAGATGACAGAAACAGTAATTGATAGTAATTTGCATTCAAACAAATTATTTCTTGCTGCTTCAATACATTATTTAAGGAAACTGAATGTCCAGGAAAATTCACACCATTATCAATGAACACATTTACTTCTATTTCCAATCTATCAGCATGGGTCCCTTTACAATTATCCAAAGCAAGAGCACTATAATATATTCAAATATAAGCTACCATGCTTATTTACCCATGCCAAAGAGTGGCTACAAAGTACTTGCAGCCTTTCAATATTGGGCACTTAATTACAGCAAATCCATATAAGTCAAAAAGTAGATTTCAAAAGTAAAGTGTATCTTCTTCCTCTTCTTTTTAAAAGCTATTATTTTGTGAAAATGTTTAAACATACAGAAAAGTTGAATTTTACAGTGAATACTCCTAGATTGATTCTGTAGTTGACACCTTGCTATACTAGGAAAGGTTTCTTAAATTACAATTTTGGCTATATCACTTCTTTGAGGATCAAACGCAGCATTTCCTGTTTGTTTATGTACAGTGCTGTAGTTTGGGCATTTGTTTCCCTAAACCTCATGTTGAAACGTGATCACCAATGTTGGAAGTGGGGCCCAGTGGGAGGTGTTTTGGTCACGGGGGCAGATCCTACGTGAATGGCTTGGTTCCATCCTTGTGGTAATGAGTGAGTTTTCACTCTATTAGTTCCTTTGAAAGCTGGTTGTTTAGAGACACAAATGGACTAAGATACACAGTCAGGAAGGTCTGGTTCTGATATTTAAAACATGAAAGAATTTTTAATTAGAATGAAGTGGGTGTTTTTTAGACTCACCATAAAAATAAAATATTCTCATTTTGAGACAGTTTTTTTTGGTGCGGGGGGGGTGGAGAATTGAGTAAAAGAGAAGTCAGTAAAGCACCATAAAGAAAAATAAATGAAGTGGCCTAGACGCTAACAAAAATACCTGAGTTAAAGAAACAGCATTTGGAGAACAGAGAATAATTCACAACCATGCACGCCATACAATGCACACTGATCACTCATACCAAACGTGCATGATACTGTTTAGAAATTCTAATCTGTTCCAGCTCTAACATTGCTAACTCTCTAGCAGAAAATACACAGGCAGTAAAACAGTCCCTGTAGACATTGTAATTATAGGAGGCTCAGCCCAGTTATAACTGAAAGCACATGACCTGGTAAGATGTTACAAAATAACAGCTGTCAGCAAAGGAGGGCTCATAATTTCAAAGGATACTTTTTATTCTGCTTTAGTTTAAGGTGACAAGAAGCCATTTAAGTGATTACATTTGACCAAATGTAGCACTAATAGC